TGACAAAAACCTTGTCGAAACGTACATTTCCTGTTGTGTTAAACTTATATTAAAGTTTTTCTTCATTACCCATTCAAGCCGTCTCCAACCATTATTATACTAACTTTGTAAGGATGACTCTAGTTCCATTAAGATGTTTTGATAAACTTGAGTTTTATATAAAGGTTTTTGGAGTCTGAATATCTCAAATTAAAACATTTCTTTTAAAAAATATATAATATCTATTTCACTGTATATTTTGTTTCTTGTGAAGATGTATTAAAATTTTTACAAATATTGGCTTCTAGTACTAATAACTTGCTCAGCTGATGTGACTGTTTTATTTCTGTTATATATGAAAGTAATGATGATCTGAAATCAATTGTTTTTGAAAAAAAATGCAAACTTTGGAGCATAGAGTAATGTTTGAAAGTAGAAAAAAAAATACAAAATACGAACTACAGAAGCACTCGTCAACTTATCAGTTTTCTTTATATTTGATTTATTAGTTTAGACGTTAAATTAAGTTGTTTTATGTTTGATTTAGAACTTGAGAAGCACGTATTGGTTTATATACGCATTTTGTGGTAATATTTCAGCTCCGTTCTTAGCCGCCCAATCACTAGACAGCAGTCTGCTTGTGAATCCAGTTCATACTCAACCACCTAGCTGTAAACCATCTGTTCTTGGAGCTTCACCATTACCACCAGGCACACCAGAGAGTCATGAGAAAGAGCAAGCCTCAACATCCAAACAACAAGAAAATGGTAAGGTTGTTTCTCTAGTACAGAAAACATTAGAAGTTAGCATACCCAGACTGTGAATATGGGGGTTTGTAGCCTGTTGCTGCGTAAACATTCTCTGTACTTTGGGACTATGTGTGCACTGTAAAAAAGTGACTGTCCAATCGAGCAGTTAGTCAAAAGTAGCCCAAGAGTTGGTAGTTTGTCAGTTCAAAATTAGGGAAGTCCTTTGTGTAGTTTTGGAAGAAAATGAAACAAGCATCAGAGGAGTATATGATATTCTAGTTATAATGTAATTATTATTATAATTGTCATGAAATACAACAAACATTTTGATGGATCTCATATAAAGAAAGTAAAAAAAATAATGTTTTCTGAAATAAAATACTCACTTCTGTTTAGTGGATCCATTTTTTTTTCTAATGGGGTTTAACTCTTCATAAATTTGGCAACATGAAAAGCGTTTGTTACTTTAATTACATTATTTTACGTGATTACATACGTTAAAGATGTTTCAAATAATCAAAGGAAATGTAACTACACTTCAAGCTCATGTATGTAAATTAGTTTCTCTGACATTAAATTATTAAAATCTGATGTGATCAACAGATAGCCAACAGGACAGTTGCACTGGTAGTTCGGGAATCTCTGGTCTCAGCTTGCAAGATCCTTTGGAAAGAGAAGAAGAACAACATCCTCCTGCACTCGTCATCTACATAGTAGAACCTTTTACATATGGCAGCGTAGATAGTGAAATGTATAGACTAGCCACCCTGGGCCTTTTTAGGTGTTACACTCACATGCTGAAGTTTGTCCCAGAGCATATACAAAACAACATTCTTCTTCAGGTACTGATAAACCTCTGTGATGTATTTAACAAAATATATTCCTTGTAGCAGTGCAAGTTTTAGCTGATAGTAAGTGTTATTCGTGTGTTCGAGAAAACTAAAAAAAGTTTCATTCTGTAGTAAGTAATGAAGAATAATTCCTTTTTACTGATATCTTTTTTTATTTAATTATTCTTAGTAAATATTTGTTTACTGGTATGGTTGTCCATTACAGATGGTTAGGTTAGACTCTGTTCTTGGTTTCGGCAAGTCTGAAGTCGGAAGTCATCAGCAGGACGAACTGAAAGCCCTGGCCTTCTCGGTCTTTTCACAGTGTCCCCGTCTTCTTGTCCACCAACCGGGTATAAAGTCTCTTACGGGATTTGGTCCTGCCGCCAGCAAGGAGTTGTTTGTTAAAACAAAAGATGTAAGTTTGTCGCTGACGTACCAAAAAAGAGATTAGTGTAGTATATATTCCTTCTACACCTATCAGAGATAAAATAAAGATACCTTATGTTCTTACAACACAAATTTCAGTTGTAAAAATGTGAAATTATTTCTGATTAATACTATTGAAACATAGATTGCAAGTGAAATGCTTTGCTCAAGTTTTGGTTTAAGTAATAAAATGTATTTTTGCTTGCAATTTTTGTGTATTCAAAACTCATCTACCATGTTTAAAGTAATAAAAATATTTGAATTTAAGAGAAGTAATGAGTCTTAGACTTGGGAATGTTTCATAGTGATTCATTTAGATGGAACAATAAAGCTCCCTGAGTTTGACAGATGACTAAAACAAGATTTTGTTACTGTAATGTGTGGATATGTTACTGTAATGTCATCACTGAACTATTAGATTCAGTTCGACAGATGACTAAAACAAGATTTTGTTACTGTAATGTACTCACTGAACTGTTAGATTCAGTTTGACAGATGACTAAAGCAAGATTTTGTTACTTTAGTGTGTGGATATGTTACTGTAATGTCATCACTGAACTATTAGATTCAGTTTGACAGATGACTAAAGCAAGATTTTGTTACTGTAATGTGTGTGGATATGTTACTGTAATGTCATCACTGAACTGTTAGATTCAGTTTGACAGATGACTAAACCAAGATTTTGTTACTGTAATGCCCCTGTGTACTCATCCAGACTTTTAAGAAGTGGGGATATTTTTGTATTCTTGTTTTTAATGCTGTGTAAAGTTAATAGGTTCATAATTATTGTAAAACTATGTGTTTAGGTCTATGATGAAAATCAATTGATAACACAATTTGCATTTCTATATATGCCAAATTCTGAATCATGTTTGTTGTTGTTTAGGAGAGAAACTCTGGACCTTATAGACTGCACAGTCCACCTTTCATACTGGCACCTTTGAAGGACAAGCAGACAGAGCTTGGTGAAATGTTTGGTGATCGCCAGGAGAAGTCCAATATCCTGTACTGCACTTACTGTCTAGTGGAAGACCAACGATGGCTGGTAGCATCCTGTACTAATGGCAAAGGAGAGGTCCTTGAGACGTGCTGTATTAACGTTGAAATACCCAACAGGTAAGTAATTTAATTGCTTCTTTGTTCACTGACATCATCATTTTGTTGCTCTTGAAATGACATAACTCTGGTCTACTTATCCACCAGCCTGAACTGTTATGTATATAGAAAGATGATCATGAATCTGTAATACTCGTGAGTTACGATTCTTATTATATGTTTATATATATAGAAGAGATGGCTGATGTAGGTATTTAAAACTTTTATTTAAAACAAAACAAGAAACAATGTTTCGGTCTTCCTTAGGATGCTCTAACATTGTTACTTGTTTTGTGTTTTTAATACCCATATCGGCAGTCTCTATTATCTATGTATATTTACTTAAATGGCTTCCTCATCATCATGGGTTCTTCTTCTTATTCTTTTTATTCTTTACATGGACAGAACAAGAAGAAAGAAGGCAGCTTCCCGATGGATGGGCCTTTACAAACTACTGAACTTCCTACTTGGTGTGATGTCCTCTACAGTACAGCCCTGGCGGCTGGTGGTTGGACGATTAGGTCGCCTTGGACACGGTGAGCTCAAGGATTGGGCGTCCCTCCTCAGCCGCCGATCTTTGCTGCAGTACAGTCGGCACCTGTGGGAACTGTGTCGTCAGTGTGCTGTCCTAGGACCTGCTGATACTCCTTGTATCCTCTCGGCATGTCTAGTCTCTTTAGAACCAGATTCGTCACTCCGCATTATGCCTGGAGAGTTCACTCCAGATGACCACTTCAGTAGTAGCTGCCATTCATGCGATCTTAGTACACCAGAGGACGCCAGATGTACCCACATCTTGGTCTTCCCAACCTCGGCTACAGCCCAGGTGAGTACGGCTTAACTACGGAGTGTTGATGTTATTTCTTGTTTTCCGTGTGTTTTCTTGGTTACTGGTTATCAGTATAGTGTAGCAAAAAGTTACACAGTTCGAAAAACAGACTATTTTATTAAAAAATACACAGGAAAAATTAGGCTCAGTAAAATAAAATTATTATAAGAGTCCTAGAGGAAACTTGCTGAAGATGTGAAACGCATCTGATTGAAAAGAAAGAAATCAACATATGTAAACATTTGATAAGTTCTCTTTTTAGTTAAATATGCAGTTTTTAATAAATTAATTGATTGCCATAAGTTTTAGAGGACTTCAGAGTAAAAGCTTTAGAGCATTACATAGTGAATGTTTTAGAGCACTTCAGAGTAAAAGTTTTAGAGCACTTTATAGTAAAAGCTTTAGAGCACTTCATAGTGAATGTTTTAGAGCACTTCATAGTGAATGTTTTAGAGCACTTCATAGTGAATGTTTTAGAGCATTTCACAGTGAATGTTTTAGAGCATTTCACAGTGAATGTTTTAGAGCACTTCAGAGTGAATGTTTTAGAGCACTTCAGAGTAAAAGCTTTAGAGCATTACATAGTGAATGTTTTAGAGCACTTCAGAGTAAAAGCTTTAGAGCATTTCATAGTGAATGTTTTAGAGCACTTCAGAGTAAAAGCTTTAGAGCATTTCATAGTGAATGTTTTAGAGCACTTCAGAGTAAAAGCTTTAGAGCATAACATAGTGAAAGTGAATCACTATCATTAATTTGATAGAGATTAATTTTGGTGTCGTGTGTTATCAACTTCTGAGTTTTTTTATTTTGCTTCATGCAAGTTATTTAGTTAAAAAAAAGTAAGTTTTTAATGGTTGTGTGTAATATTTCTGTGTGTAGTCTACACAAGCAGCGTTTCATCAAGAGCACATCGAGCCATTGGGAACATCTTTTGGCGATGATGACATCTTCCAAGCACTAAATGATGATGATATCAATGTAGGTCCAGATATTAATGACCTGTTCAGGTGGACAGAGAGTCCAACACAAAGTCCAGTTGGTTCTCCCCGTCGAGATTCTGCTTCCCAACTCGGGAGTCCAGGGGGTGTAGGTGGCAGAAATTCTCCCTTTCCCCACAGTGGGCCTACAAGGGTATGTGATCATGATATTTGTTTTTGTTCTCGTATGTTTAAATAGTAAGTATGAATAGAATTTATATGAAAATACTTATTGTTTTTGATTTTATAATTATCATAAACAAGTATTATTTCAAGATTTGTTGGTACTTTCTCACCAGGTGTGATTTTTCTGTAATTTTGGATCTGCTGTAAATTAAAACAATTTCAGGATATATCAGCCTTTTGAGGTGATTTTGTTTTAGAATCATGAGAACAATGAACTAAATACAAGGTCAAAAACAAAGTTTAAAAACCAAAATCCAGGCCTTTCAACATCAGCTGATGTTCTCGTTAGTTTCTTTTTTTTAAGTCACTAAGAAAGGTGACATTCGCTGACTGTTAAAATAAAAAAAATAAAATTAAATACAGGTTTTCATTTCTGTAATATAGAAAAAAAAAAATTGTGGATTTTTCCACGGTTTACTTACAGAACAACTGAAATACATTTGGAAGTAACTTTTTCTGTTGAAGTTCGAACTTGGTGATTCAAATGCCATATATGTTGAACTTTACTACATAACTAGTTAGGTTAAAAAAAAATATTGAAAACTCCAATAATATATTCAAGCTTAGGAAAATTTTAGGATTTACACACTTTACCGGCACTGTTACAAATTTTCTTGTTTTGTTAGTAAGACCTTCAGATTAAAGATGACTATATAGTAGTAAGTCAATCACGTTATAACTGCTATATCCATTGTCGACTAGGCCTTTTGCCCAATACCATGGCTCTTCAGGCCAGCTGGGATGCAACAGACATAGTGGTGGTTGATATGCAATTTGTGTTACCAAATTTTTTTTATCAATAACTGTTTGTGCCTAGTGAATATCACTTAACATCCATTTTTGTTTTAAATACTTTTTGGGATACAAAATCTTGAGAATTTTATTTTTAGAAGACTTGTTAGAGAAGGTTTTTGTACATTTATTTTAGTTAATTTATTTTTGATTTGACAGTTTTGGTGGATACTGGAAGAAAAAGTGCACTTCATCTACTCTGTTTGTTGTAATATTTTATATTCTCTTCAGGGTTCTGGTAGCTTGGGAACTGATGCACCAGAGGAACCTCTTCAGCTGCTTCAACAACCATTAGCTTTGGGGTATTACGTCTCCACTGCCCAGACTGGACCTTTACCAAACTGGTTCTGGTCACCCTGTCCTCATCTCAAGGATTCCTGCCCCGTCTTCCTTAAGGTAAATAAAATACTAATTTTATTTATAAGAACCTTTACCAAACTGGTTCTGGTCACCCTGTCCTCATCTCAAGAATTCCTGAATTTGTCCTCCATAAGGTAGATAAAATGCTAATTTTTTTTATAAGAACCTTTACCAAACTGGTTCTGGTCACCCTGTCCTCATCTCAAGAATTCCTGCCCCGTCTTCCTTAAGGTAGATAGAATACTAATTTTTTTTTTTTATTATAAGAATGTCTGTAGGTTGATTTTGTAGTGAACGGTAAGGGAAATAAACCATAAATGTATTATAGGTGGAACGTTAGCACTGGGCAATCAGTCTAATTTCATAATAGATTAATCATCAGGTTCATTAATCAGTTATCTTCAACTAATCAGTTATTCTCTTGTAAGATTAATCTTCCTATTGTTTTAAGATTTTTTTTAGAAATTTTTCAACTTTGTTTAATTTGTCAGACATTTTCAGGCACAATGTTTAGGATTAATTTACCTTTTCAATTCTAATATTTTGCTCAATTATATTCAACATAACACAAAACCTGTAAATGGTTGAAAAATATTACTTATACTGTTCTTCTCCTCACAAGAATTCTATACTGTAACTACCAAGCATAACTTTACCAGATTTTATTGGATGTTACCTTTGTATATGCTCTAATATTTTTTTAGTGGTATTAGTAAGGTGTGTTGCATTGGTTATCAGAAAAAATAGTATAGGATTGTAATGGAAAAATTGGTATATTTATCACCAAATAAACACATTCTTTATTAACAATCGTCATCGTTAAGGAAAACATTATAGCACTGTTACTACTGAGAACTTGGCTTTAGTGCATTATTACTAAATAAACTAATTCATTATTAAAAAATGTTTGTTCTTAGGTTTCATGTGTTAAAACTAGTAAACAAAATTTTCAGTGTTTGTAGAAAATATATAATTTAGTGAAAACAAATTTCATTTGAATCCTAGAAAAATGAAGACAGTATAACAGTTGCTGTTTGTCAAGAAAACTTGTGATGATAATAGATAGTTTTTTTTTGTACAGATTAAAATTAAATTATAAGTTTTATAAGAAATATTAAAAAAGAAGACACAAAACAATTTTTAATTATCATTTTGGGAATTAGCTTCAAAAATTTTTTTAAATGGTTGATAACTTTATAAATAACGTACAAGCAAGATTTGGTTTATACGGACATAAATTTAGAAGAAACATATTAAAAGGATTAATATATTAACATTTTACTGTAGAAACGTATGTTTTACCTTGCTTTTCATCATGAAAATAGTTTTTGTCTTAAAGTACTGTATCTTAGTAACATTTTGATCTTGGAAACAAGGGTTTTTAATTTTGTTATTAATCACTGTTTGTTCTTCACAGTCGGCTCTTTTAATCCACTCTCCAGCAGTACAGCAGAGTTCAGAGGATCTACTCCACTCCAATCCTCATATTCAAAATTGTCATCCACTCGACTCGAACCTTACCACTGATGTTCTCAGGTACGACAGTCCTTACTACAGTAGGTCTATTATTAGTTTAATGTTAAAGTTTATTTTATTATAAATTATGCTAATATGAAAATGGAGGACTCCATAGATTATTAAGGTTATGAATTAAAAAGTGTGCCTAAAGTATGAGATCATATTTAATTTTATTTTATTTTAAAGAGTCAGACAACACTTAAATGTTGTGTTTTGATGGAGAAATTTTGACCACACCATTATGGTAATCCTTGTATTTACAAAAAATCAGAAATTTTAGTTCTTCCCGGTACAGGGAAGAATATACCAGGAAGAAGCGTGAATATGAGCTGTGTGATTTGCACTGAGAAATACGTACTTTTGCTTGAATGCACTTCATTTAAATATCTAACGTAAAATTTGGTGGTGTGACATTGCATTTTAAAAATGAGTCTTGACGTGTAACTTTACATAACTTACTAGTCTGTAGATAACACTTTGTCAGAGTAAGGCATTATGTACCATGTTAATGAATGTGTTAATTTATAACAAGTCTTTGTCGTGTTGTTAACTTTCAGGTATGTTCTTGAGGGCTACAATGCCTTGTCATGGTTGTCTTTGGACCCAGTCACTCATGATCGTCGTTCTTGCCTGCCAGTCCACATCCAGGTCCTGATGCAACTCTATCATGTGATGGAAGCTATTGTGTGAAGAGCTGTTAACCACTTTCAGGTCCTCTTATTGTCTTCTTCGGCCCAATTAGTTGATGGCACAGAACAGGCAACGAGAACAAAAACCACATATCAGGGAAGTCCTCCAGTCATGCACTGCCACTCTAAGGTCTATGATAAGGTCACAGTTACGTACCGGGCAGAGCAATCTTCATCCATTAAACCAAGATGCCAGTCCAGTCTGAGTTAATGATTGGTGGTGTAATTGGATCTGAAGACCAGTAGACAAGGTCTTTGTTAATTGTAATGTAGAAACGGTTGTTTTATTGTTTGTGAAGCGTATCATGCCACATTAAATAAACTGAACATGTATCATGTACGGGGATGAAGATTTCCCAGCAGAAGAATGTGGTACTATTTATTTTGTATATATCAGCACCCATCACCCGAATTCTACTGGGATCCACAGAAATATATTTACTTAGGATATTGTCAAAAGAAGATACCTGACTTTACTCCATCGGTGACTAGAAAATAATTTAATATCCATTGAATTGGCCAGAGTTATGAAGAGTTTACAAATCTTCATCATTTGTACAGTTTATGTATAGGAATGTAGGCTATACGAGTCTTGCTAAACAATCATGGTTATTGTTACAAATTGTGTGTGTATGTATGTACTACAAAAGTTAATTGTGGTGTACAATTTTCATACAGGCATTTATTAAAAGAAGAAAAAAAATATCGGTTCAATAGCAATCTCAGTTTTTTGATCGTATGTTCATTTTGAGAAGTTAAGTCAGAAAAAAAATAATTTTAAAAATCACTGCCTCTTTTATTTCCTGTGAATTTTTTTCTTCTTCTTCTACATAGAAAACATCTCCCATTTTCTATGGTATTGATTTTTTTAAAATTTGTAAATAACTCAAGAAATAGCCACCAGGGTTTAGTAACAAAGTGTATGTAATTTTGCTAATTTGTCCAAGCCTTGCCAAGCAACTCTGCAATACTTAAAAGTTGACCGAGGCTTGGTGTGGGAACTTTTTATTTATTTTGGTAGCTGTTTCTAGCCTACCATGCTCAAAAATAAACATCTCTACCTGAGATTGATTGTTGTTTGACTGCAGTTATTTCAATAAACATGCGCATTTATTTAGATCCAAACTTACATAATCCAATTCTTCAGCAAGAAACACCAGTACTTAATGGATGTGTGTTACTGTAGTTAAAAAAAAAATCAGTTATAAGTCCAGGTACTTACAATAAATTATTACTTGAAACAATTTTCATTTGTTTTTGTAATATTTTGAAAGAGCTTGATTTATATATACACACACACACACACACACATAGAGAGATAGATACATACAACTCCACACTTTTGAAGGAAAAAAAAGATTGAAGGATTTTCAAAGTATTAAATTAATATACAGAGTGGTCCAAACTTATCTTTTCTATTTAAAAATTTAATAAAATAACTAAGAAGATACAACCATGATAGTTTTCAATATCTTGTAGACCAACTTAAACAGCTTTTATTGACTTGTCAGTAGACTTCTACGTGTGCACCATTAGTGGCTTTCAGCACGTCTAACCGATATATTCAATTTCAGTCCCCGTTTTTCTGCAACATGTCCACAGTTACTGTGGCGATGGCATCCGTTATCCTGGTCTTTAGCTCCGTGATGTTTGCTGTAGGCTTGCGATACACGATGTCCTTAACATACCTCCAAAGAAAGAACTTTAGTGAAGTGATGTCTGGCGAATGCAGAGGTCATGGAATTGGCCCACCCCGATCAATCCGTTGCGTTGAACCTTTTCTTGCAGGTTGCCATTTTACTGGGTAACACTACTAACTGAATTGTAAGATTGTTTTTCATGAGCTAAATTACCCAACCTTAAGACACCATTCACAACTATAGCTTTTTTTTAATCCTTAATTTCTGACATGAGATACCAAAAGAAATTTTGAAGAAACTTATCCAGAATTTATCAGAATGGAATTCCAGGAGTTTCATTTTTCATGCTACCAATATTTTTCTATTTGCTCCCCAGGGGGCTCAATGGTAAGTCTGAAGACTTATAACCCATAATATCGGGTTTTGACACCTGTGGTGGGCGTAGAACAGACAGCTCCTTGTGTATATTTACCTTTAACAACAAACAAACGAAACAATCTTTTTATTCCTTTGTATTTCTGCTTATTAAAAAAATTAGAATCCGATTTTCGAAAACATTTACAATACAAGTTATCCCAACGGCTTTGAAATTCCACATATGGTGTGAGTGTGTGAACAACCATTCCTCCCCTGGAGCAAATAATGAAATTTGTAGGCCTAACAACACAAATCTAAGATTTTATTGTCAATTCAAGTTAAGAATAATGTATTCCTATCCTGTAGCAGAGAACGAAATTTGTAAGCCTAACAACACACACATAACTGAAATTTTACGTTAATTCAAGTTAAGAATATTTCATTCCTACCCTGTAGCAGAGAACGAAATTTGTAAGCCTAACAACACACACATAACTGAAATTTTACGTTAAATCAAGTTAAGAATATTTCATTCCTACCCTGGAGCAGAGAATGAAATTTGTAAGCCTAACAACACACACATAACTGAAATTTTAGTGTTAATTCAAGTTAAGAATATTTCATTCCTACCCTGGAGCAGAGAATGAAATTTGTAAGCCTAACAACACAAATCTAAGATTTCAGTGTCAATTCAAGTTAAGAATATTTCATTCCTACCCTGGAGCAGAGAATGAAACTTGTAGGCCTAACAACACACATAACTGAGATTTTAATGTCAATTCAAGTTAATAATAATTCATTCCTACCTTGAAGCAGAGAATGTCATTTTTTAACCCTAACAACACAAATCTAACATTTTAGTGTCAATTCAAATTAAGACTAATTCAAAACTGGTTGCTAGTTATCTATGGTGACAATACAGCCTCGATAATATACTTTGTGATGGCTCTGGTTACGGACTAGTAATCTGCAGTGGAATTTACACTTGGGAGTTTTTTTTCACTACACGGTGAGGTCTTTATTGGAATCATGATTTCCCTTGTTTTGCCAGCATGGTTCAATATTATAGCTACCATTTTCTTTGAAACACAAAAACTAATGAATAAATTCGAATATGGTTGTATCTAAAATAATATTTGCTTTAAATGACAGCAGAAAATGACTACTTAAGAATTAAAAGACGTAAATGGAATATATATATATATATATATATAAACACTTTTTGTGTCGAATATTGATTTTTTTTTATTAAAATGACTTTTTTTTTTTCGAGCTACGGAGTTCAATAAAATTGCAGTTTAATTATTTAGTTTTCGATATATAAGCAAACCTTTTGTTTCGATACTGCGGTGGACAGAGTACAGATAGCACGTTGTGTAAATTTGTGCTTAGGTGCAATAATGATAATAATATAATGTTCATCTTACTTTAACTTCTAATGACATGTTTTTCAAGTAGTACAGGTACGAGAAATTCTGATTTTTGTATATCATATTTTAACTTATTTCAAACTTAAACCGTATGATAAAGTGATTTAGTTTATAGTTAGAACATAACGCATACAACAATATTTATTTGCCTTTCCCACTTTATAACTAGATCACGTGCTAACAAAACTACATTTCCCCAGGCATGTCTCACGAATATTGCCTTATAAGTACCGTGCGCTAACCAATTGCGCCAGTGGGGATATTACTAACAAAAAGTGGTATAAGATTTCATTATCATAACTATTAAATACTATTCAGCTATTCATCAGTTGCCTGTTTAGAGTCGCGTGATTTTACAGTTCTCAGATAATTAACAATATCTGTGAATTACTTGATGAGGAAGAAATATATAATCAAATTAAACAAATATACATAGCTCTGACTATCATTGCAATAAATGATATGGTCCGGTAAGGCTTGTTAGTTAACGTACCTGAACTGTGAATCTCAGGAAATTACTATGCACAAAAACAGAATTGTCTTTGTAAAGCTTCATGTACCATTTCTATCACATTTAGCCAATTTAGTTATTACTCTGGGCACCAGTGTTTGTTAGAAATATTCACAACCCAATCTTTTCTTACTTTGGGTACCAATGTTGCCAGTTGTTTTATTACTCTTGGTACTAACTATAAAACTATCTTAATAGATGAATTATAAAATAAACCAAAGCCCTTACAAATATTTCAATGTACATATTAAATATGAGTAAAATCATTGGCACCAGACATGTCTAATATAAAACTAGTTGATACAATCCGATCGATATAATACAGAGAACTCAAATTTACGTATTTAAGTTACACTTTATAAAAAATACCTTCTCCAGGTGAGGCTCGAACTCACAACCCCGGCATTTCTCACCAATACTGCCTTATAAGTACCGTGCGCTAACCAATTGCGACACTGGAGATTGAAGGCGAATATTTAAAAGTGCATAATAATAAATACTAAATTTTTTTTTCTTGCACTGGTTATCTATGTTTGTTAGAGTGATTTACAACCCAGTCTTTTCTTACTCTGGGTACCAAAGTTTGCTAGAAAGACTTACAACCCAATCTTTCCTTACTCTGGGTGCCAAAGTTTGCTAGAGAAAGATTTACAACCCAATTTTTACTTACTCTGGGCACGAAAGTTTGCTAGAGAGACTTACAATTATTGGTACTTATATCTTGGTACCATTGTTTGCTAGAGACATCCACAGTCAAGTAGTTTCTTATTTCGGGTACCAATGTTTCCTAGAGAGAGATTTACAACCCAATCTTTTCTTACTTTGGGTACCAATGTTTTTTAGAGAGAGATTTACAACCCAATTTTTACTTACTCTGGGCACCAATGTTTATTAGGCAAATTCACAATCAGTTGGTGTTCTTAGTCTGGGTGCCAAAGTTTGTTAGAAATATTCACAATCCAGTTGTTTTATTACTCTTGGTTCCAACTATAAAACTGTCTTAATAGATGAATTATAAAATAAACCAAAGTCCTTACAAATACTTCAATGTACATATTAAATATGAGTAAAATCATAGGCACCAGATATGTCTAATATAAAACTTGTTGATACAATCCGATCGATATGAAGCGTGGAACTTTCTAATTTTCATTGGTATTCTGACTATCCACCTGAACGGTGACGCCCGAATATATACCTATAATATAGAGAACTCAAACTTACGTATTTAAGTTACACTTTATAAAAAATACCTTCTCCAGGTGAGGCTCGAACTCACAACCCCGGCATTTCTCACCAATACTGCCTTATAAGTACCGTGCGCTAACCAATTGCGCCACTGGAGATTGAAGGTGAATATTTAAAAGTGCATAATAATAAATACTAAACTTTTTTTTTTTTGCACTGGTTATCTATGTTTGTTAGAGAGATTTACAACCCAGTCTTTTCTTACTCTGGGTACCAAAGTTTTCTAGAGAGACTTACAACCCAGTCTTTTCTTACTTTGGGTGCCAATGTTTTCTAGAGAGAGATTTACAACCCAATCTTTTCTTACTTTGGGTGCCAATGTTTTCTAGAGAGAGATTTACAACCCAGTCTTTCCTTACTCTGGGTGCCAAAGTTTGCTAGAAAGACTTACAACCCAATATTTTCTTACTCTGGGTACCAATGTTTTTCTAGTGAGAGAGTTACAACCCAATCTTTTATTACTTTGGGTATCAAAGTCTGCTAGAGAGACTTACAACCCAATCTTTACTTACTCTGGGCACCAATGTTTATTAGGCAAATTCACAATCACTTGGTTTTCTTACTCTGGGTGCCAAAGTTTGCTACAGAGAGACTTACAACCCAATCTTTTCTTGCTCTTAGTACCATTGTTTTGTAGAAGAGGTTTACAACCCAATCTTTTCTTACTTTGGGTACCAAAGTCTGCTAGAGAGACTTACAACCCAATCTTTACTTACTCTGGGCACCAAAGTTTTTAGAGAGAGAGATTTACAACCCAATCTTTTATTACTCTGGGTACCAAAGCTTGCTAGAGAGACTTACAACCAAATCTTTTATTACTCTGGGTACCAAAGTTTTCTAGAGAGAGACTTACAACCCAATTTTTATTTACTCTTGGCACCAATGTTTATTAGACAAATTCACAATCAGTTGGTGTTCTTAGTCTGGGTGCCAAAGTTTGTTAC